TTTTTTATTATTTTTGCTTTGTATCTTCATAGTCTGTAATATTTTTAAAGCTATAGACTTAAAAAATTGAATTTAATTTAATGTAAACAAGTAATTTTTAAGCAAAAAAACAAAACCGACTTCAACTCTCGTATAAAAATTTAAAATTATCTTTAATTTCTTCACGATCCAATTACCGGTTCTAAAAAAAACTATCGAAATCGGTTAACGTGGTCTAAAGTTATGCATACATACAAAAATAAAAAATAAATAAATATTCTGACGAACTGATAACCTTCTCCTTTTTGTGAAGTCGGATAAAAAATAAGCGTGCTTTTGAAAGCGGTCGGTGTTCGGTAATTATTAAATTTGTTCAATTAATATAGCACAACATTATGAGCTGGAAGCTTATTAGGTTATTTGGTATTGGGTGCCATGGTGGATTTATTACAATTTGAAGATAAAAAGTACTTTGTTTTTATTTCATTATTTATCTCTTTTAATTTGTTTTTGTACTAAAAACATTGGCCCGTGGTTATAGGAAAATAAAGTAGACTCTAAAGTTAGTTGGAGCTTTTTTGGTAGACATTGACATTGGAAAATATGTCAAAAAGCACAAATAACTTTATTTTGGCTATAACTCTGGGGTCAAAAATTATTACTCTGTAGTGTATTTTATTGTTGTAAACTGAATAAAAAATATATTTGCATAACCAGGCAACCTGGTAGCCAGGCAAGTGTGAACACCCACAGTGTCAAAAACGCTTCGCCTTTTTATTAGGTCCAATCCCGTATTCCTCGGGCTAAAACTAGTAAAACTGTCAAAAAATAAAATTCGCTCAGAGCGAGAGAGTAGCACGGAAAAGTACGATATCGCTTTCTAGTAAAAAATTATAACTTCTGACAGCTTCAACATAACCTCCAAATTTTGTTTATTTTGTAAGTAAACATACTCAGCTCACACATGTAAATAGCCAGAAATACTTACAAATTCATTAGAATTCACCTAAACCAGTGATTAAATATTTTATAATATGCATTGGCAAAGTGCACTTTTCTTTTGTATAAAATTTGGTTGTCAAGCACACTACAGCTGATCGTTTGACACATTTACCAGCGAAAAATCTTCGGAATAAAACTAATAACTTCTGTCACAGAGAGGACCTTTTTTACTCTCTGCTTTGTCCGCTCAGTTGCCAGAGAAGCGAGTACGGGGATCAATGTCCAGTAAAATCTGGTAATTTCTGGTAAAAAAAAATGGTAACATCGGACTCATACGGGATAACAACTATTGCGATTGATGTACTTATTTACTGACTAGCCTGCCAATTAGTAATTTTATAAGTCATGAACTTATTGATAGTAAAATGCATAATAAATAATTAGCAAAGAATAGTAAACAAAAAACTTATAAGATAATAAATCTTTATATAATCGCCTGATATTTCCCTGATTAAAAGAATAAACCGCAAACGCCAGCATCAATGGCATTGCCGTTGAAGTCACTCACACGCCCTGCATTAACCCAGTTGGGAAGTAAATCCGTATACCACCACACGTTTAAAAATAAATAAAAAATACGAAGTGACACATTTTTTCACATCTTCACTTAAAATTTTCATTCTCTATACCACTCAAGGTGATTTATGGATTTTTTTTTTTTTAATTGGAAAAAGTGGAAAAAGCAGATCACTGACTTAGGCAGCTGGGCTCGTTGGATCGAATCCCAGTGAAGAAGTCTGATGAGGAGATATGGGGATCTCCGAAATAGCAGCCATAGCTTCTACCATTTATAAATTATTGTTGTTTTTCCACATTAATTTAATAAAAATAATAATTAGAAAATATAAACATATTTTTTTTTATTGATAGTAGAGCTCTCGATTATGTTCGCACATTTTCAAACAGCCCGGGTATATGAGCAGCGAGTACTCGCACACTTGTTCAATGCTCATTACTCGAAAATTTTCGAGCATGAGCTCGAGCAATTCGAGTTTTTTCGAGTAATTTGAACAATGTTTTTTTTTATTATATTGACATTTTTGGTAGAAACTTTTTAAATTTTTCAATTATTGTTATATTTTGCAAGGATTGTTACATTGATATTTAATAATATAATTTATTTAACATGAATTAGAAAGCAGCTGCTGACAAATACAATTTACAAATTTTCTTTTGTTTATGAAATTGTTCAAAAACTCGAAAATTTTGAACAAACATTTGAGCAGTTGAGCAATGAACGAGTTTCGAGCGAGTATCGAGCTACTCGCATTGCTCGATACCCGGGTATCTAGAGCTCTAATTGATAGTGGGTTATTAGTTCGGTTCGTGATGCAAATAATTGTTACGAATTGTTAGGAATTATCCTGATTTTTGTCAAATCGCTTTCGTAATGCCCAAAAACTTGCAAGGAAGTGAAAATTGGGAGAACCAAATTCTCCAAACCCAATTCTGGCATAGGGTTGCCTTTCGATAGACAGTAATTTGAAAAAAAAATTCCTTACATTTGAAAATTTATAAATAATTTTTTCTTATTAATAATGAGAGTAAATATTTGTTTACTTAATATATTTATTTAAATTAGCAAATAATAGTAAAAAGAACTTATAAGATAATAAATATTTATATATAATCGCCTGATACTTGTTTTTCGGAGTAATTTAGCAGAACTATTTTTTTCCCTTTCGGAAACTCTAGATTTATTGAAAAGCTACTCAGAAGACGTTTAATTTATATTTTTTTTCAAACATTCAACTTTTTCGTTTTTTTTTTTAAAATGTTTTTTTTCCGGCTTATTTTTGTAAAACTTTTTTTTTCCAATTTTTTTTTTTTTTGTCAAAATGTCTGCAAATTTTGCGTTCACGTTGATAGACAATGTTTCAAAATTCTCATGAATTTCATTGCTGGATAATTCTTGCTGCACTCTTAGACGAGCGCACATACTCATTACCACTGTACGGCCTCCTAAATGGAATTGCGATCAGCTCATTGTCCAAAAATTCCTATAGCTATTCCGAAGTGTAACTACACATACGTGGGCATATATATATTGTAGAAGTCCGCTTATGAAAAATCGAAGAGTTGGAAATTGGTATTGGAAATGGTCAATACATTCCTCATTCCTTCTTCAGCAAACAAAACTTGTCGATATATGTCTTGGAGCATTGGTTCAATACGTAGGACAGTGTCCTGTGATAACGCTGGTAAAAATTCTCACTTAATTCCTAACGTCAAAACTTTTTCTATTCGTTTCTTATTAAACATCGGCCATAAAGACCATGAGACTTCCCACTCGTCTCTCGATTGGTCTATAAGTCAAGGCTATGGTGTACTCGTCAATTTCCCTCAGTATATCATATATATCAGTATAGGGAGTTGTTATTATTGTTCTTATTCACCTCGCTGGTCAGCATTGCCGTACAACTTGTTAAGTTTTAAGTCTGTCTACATATCTACGTATTAGAGCGGGTCGATTTGTAGGGGATCAGAAAAACGGAAAAATCGCATATGCGGAAAATGCTCTACGGATCATTCTGAGCAATTTTGCTTAAGAAACTATGGGTCTGAAACGAATTTCGAGCCAGCGAATTTTCATATCAGGTAATACAAAATCTTGTGGGAAAAACTTAAACAAATAGCTAATAAAAAACAACAAAGAAGAATACTATAAATTTTTGGAAAATAAGCGTAGCCACGCCCACTTATGATTACCTTGATTACACATAAAATCGAATTATAACCACGCCCACAACCCATATAACGGTTATTTAGAGAAATACGAACTCTCCGATAAATCACTAAATACTGTAGCTAATTTATTCAAAATTGATGTTTGCAATAATTATTTAGCAAAAAATAGGTTTATGATAAAGTTTTGGAAAATGGGCGTGGCACCGCCCACCATATATGACCATATATGCGAATCTCGGTAGCCGTTCGATCAATTGGTATGGTTATTGGGCTTGCCAAATAAAAGCAAACCATTGAAAATTATTGAAATCGGTCTAAAAGTACGCCTTGCTGGCTCCCGACAAAAAAAATAGCTAACATAAAACATGGACCTGTAGCGCACTCCCGTTGGCTAACCAAGGCCGATCGAATTTTAACGATTGTACGTTGTAACAAGTTCACCACCTTGTAACTTAAAAACTCTAGAAGAATACTAATGATCATAAATCAGTACGCGAAAGGCAATAAAAGAATTTAGAGAGTACAAGAAATGTAAAATTAATTTTGACTGCTCCAATTATTTCTGTATGATAGATTTGGATGATGACAATATTTTAAAAGAACCGCCAATTACTACATTCCGCATAACCATTTGAAGGAATATTTAGAATTTGAAGACCCATCACTTCCTAACCCACAAGTTCTATGTCAAATACAAGGAACTGAACGATACGTTCAACTGCTAACCAGTAACGGAACGGAAAAAAAATTGTGAAAGTGTTATGGTTGTGACAGGTTATAGTCGAGAACAAAATTACCACGCTTGGAAAGCACGCAGGACTTAAAAACTTAGTTATTGAAGTAATTAAAAAAAATCAGCTATTTATTTAAGTTTTTCCGACAAAATTTGGTACTACCTTATATGAAAATTCCCTTAAAACTCGCTGGCTCGAAATTGGTTTTAGACCCATAGTTTCTTAAGCAAAGTGGTTCAGAACGATGCGAAGAGCATTTTCCGCATATGCGATTTTATGGGGGGGGGGGTTGGGAATCGACCCGCCCTAACATACATGTACATACACATTTCAATAAATGATTCTTCATCTCGTAATTTATTTATTTTGAATTAAGGGAGATTCTTGTTATCACTTATGCTTTATTTTGCTCAACCGGATAAGCTTTTTGNCTCAACCAGATAAGCTTTTTGCAATTTTGCACAATTTTAAATATTGGCAAAATGGCCAATCACAATTCTAGAACTTATCATCTACTCCCTATATACTTTAAAAATAAAATATATATACATATTAAAAATAAGATTAATCAATTCTTCGAAGAAAGCATTCTTCACTTTAATATAAGGCGCTGGACACAACGCTCTGATTGCCAGTAGTAAACGAGCATTTAACGGTTTCACTATTAAGTGCTCAAAAATAAGCACCATTAGAGCTACGCTAGTGGAATAAGCGACGACGAGAGCAAAGGTAAAATTGAAACATTTGTGCAAGAAAGTCGTAACTAAAAAAAAAATAAAAAATAAACAAATAAATGACAAATAAAAGCGCGAGAAAAACTACTTTAAAATTAGATTTTCGCATTAAACAAAATTAGCCCGTATAACGGTAAAATGCGACAAGTCAAAATTTAAACGAGAGGGTAATGCCTTAAATTTTGTTGCCGTATTTTGTTTTTATTTTTTATTTTGAGCACTGAGTGACTCTTTTCTTGTTATAGTTGCTAAGTAAANCTAAGCCGTATTTTGGTTTTATTTTATTTATTTTGAGCACTGAGTGACTCTTTTCTTGTTATAGTTGCTAAGTAAAGTGAAAATGAGTAAAGTTGTAAGAAAATATTCGCCCTTTTTATGAGAGGCAATTTACAGATAGATGTCGTTATGAATTTTTTTGACGTAGAAAGCTTGACGACCGACAATTTTTGGGTTATAACGTTCTCCCGGCAAATGAACGGCAATGTATACAAAGTTACGTTGTACGAATATATTTGTAAGCACACAAAACTGTACGAAAATAACTCCCGTCCCGATAAGGTGAGTCGAGACAAAAGGGCGGGTGTGCAAGGGCAACTATTTCGCAAAGTCAAATACATACTTCTAAATGCGAAGGTGATCCCACGATCGGTTAACGAATCAGCCAACTTAGAGCGCTACATACATACGTGGACACAGCGCGTCCGAAGAGCACCAACCAGCAGCCGCCGCCAGTAGTAGTTGGCGAATTGTGAGCGCAATCAGCAATTTGCCGGGCAACGTCAAGCGAAACGGTCGTGCAACGGTCGGAAGGCGCCTCTCCAATCGACACTGATCTAAAGCGGGCTTTTCAGTGCTCGTGCTGCTATTCTGATTTTCTTTCATTTTATAAACGGTTGTGTTATTTCATTTTTTGTTGATAAAAGTGCCAAATTAGAGTTTTTGCGCAAAGTGGTTGACGTGCCAAATAAGCTGACAAATTTTTGTTTCGCTTTTCATTTTCCTAGCATAGCGAAAATTCGCGTAGGTTTATTTAATTTTGTAGATTGAAGCAAAAAACTAGTGGTAAGTGAAGTGGTTAAATTAAAAAAAAAAAAGTAACTTGTACCAAGATTAGTAAATTTTCCGTTTAGTGGTAAAAGCCGAAATTGCGTCGTATTTTTTGGTGGCTACGACTTTCTGTTGTTGCTATGTATTTGCCTGTTTGTGTATATTGACATGTAGACATATCGATTAACGCCGCATCCGCCTGCGTCCATGTATGCATGTATGTATTTATATATGAATTAGTATATGCAAACAAAATATATTCCATATAGGAATGTACTTAAATTCAAACATCTGTATATGCATAATACATATCGTCGTTTAAAGTGCTAAACCGCGTATCAGCAAAATGCAAAACCGCATAGGTATCAAGATAACGCAAAATCGCATTTCTGGCTAGTATACTTCAGGACGAATGGATAANTTTGTGTATATTGACATGTAGACATATCGATTAACGCCGCATCCGCCTGCGTCCATGTATGCATGTACATATGTATTTATATGTGAATTAGTATATGCAAACAAAATATATTCCATATAGGAATGTACTTAAATTCAAACATCTGTATATGCATAATACATATCGTCGTTTAAAGTGCTAAACCGCGTATCAGCAAAATGCAAAACCGCATAGGTATCAAGATAACGCAAAATCGCATTTCTGGCTAGTATACTTCAGGACGAATGGATAAGGCTTGAGCGTAGAGCTTCGGTGATCAAATCCAATTTTTGGCAGCAAATGTCAGTTACGCGGTTTTGTAATGCAGGTATTACGTGTCCCATCAGCGATATGCTCATCAGTGCAAACTTTAACGAAGAAAATTAGAATATATGTACATATCTACATACTAGGGTGGACACAATGATGTTAACAACTAAGTTTAGTGTGGGACACCCCTTTGTTATGTTCTGCGCACAAAATAAAGACATCGACGATAAATAATTTTTTTTTTTTCCTCAAAAATTTCAAAAAAAAATTTCTCGAAATCTGATATATTTGTCATATTATTTAAACTTATTTTCTAAGCGTAGCGTTATAGCTGATCAAAGCCAAAATTTGATCGAATTGTTGCAATTGGGAAAATTTTAATTTTTTCAACCCCTGTTGTTTTTGTTGTAGCGACACTACTAAGCCCCGCCTATTTCGGTTCAGGCTTCAATTATTGTCGTCAAGCCCAACTAACGATAGGCCCCGGAAACGGGGAGAGGGGTGTTAGTTGAGTGGGATGGAGCTGGCTGGCTGTGATAGGGGTGTCATTCCCACGACAGCCAGTTCTACGTATCGGAATGACTCGGGGGGTTTTACCCAACCAAGGGCTATTGTTTCGGCGACCTAACCCCTATTTAGATTGGCGATACCCTTCAATCATGTTTGAAACACTCGTAGCGGCCCCTAAATTTATGTTTTTAATTTTGAAATTTTCGTGGATGTTTTTATTTCGAACGTAGATACAAGTAAAGGCGGGCCGTTTCTGTTGATCGTTTTAAGGACCACCCTAATACATAGATAAAGAGGGAATCGGAACAGTAATAACCGGTGATGGAATACTAGATACAATTTTACTTTTTTTACACCTTTTTGAATTTGAAAGTATACGACTCGACTATCGAACAACGCATTGTACTCGACACGACACGACACTCGCAGTGAGGCTGATAGTTTGGTCTCGTAATGCTCGAGAAATTTTCTTCCAAAGAAATTTTTCATAGCCAAAATTTGTTTAATGTGCGTCAACAAGTTGATAACGTGTCGAAAAGAGAGGCTCTCCTACTACAACAAAAAATTTTTGCATATAAAAACATATACATACATATTTACTTTTTAGATACACTTACCTAATTTTGGTAAATTTTTTTCGGAATTTCGATACAATTTGGAAATTTAACTTTCCATAACTGGTAATAAATAACCTTTAGCTTACCCAACAAATTGAGTTACACACCTACATACATATGTATGACATATCAAATTTGAAAAAAAAGTAATGCAAAAACCAGTTCGCCTTACTCAACACATCACGTGTAGGTATAAATAAGCTATTTATGTATGTCAACAGTGACCACTTCTACTCATTTCAATTGTGCAAAAAATAATTTTAGAGAAAGTACAGTCGGACTTTAATATCGAAATTACATATGTGCATACATATGTATGTTTGTATGTATATTGTGTCAGCGCAGTACTTACATACATATGTGAGGCATTAGGGTGTGCCAACAGTAAAGTGTTTGCGGCCAAAACAACTTAACGCAACCTAAAGATGCCAAGGTGCTAAGTCCACTTTTTTTTAAGTTCTCAAAAAGAATTTTTTAAGTCCATTGAACGTACGTTACATAAGTTGTTTATTCAATTTCTATGTAATTTATCACGCGAATAACTAGCTCTGTTTTCGTATTCGTAAAGAAAAAAAAAGTATCCAGTATCTTTAAATAGGCTTACTTTGTCAATTTCAACTATAAAAGCTCCAGAAACAATTCTTTTATTAGTTTGAATTGCCCCCAAAAATCATACCATCAGCTTACTGGAAAATAGTTACAACTAAAAATTTTTCCAACAAAAATCCAGTTAAGCTTGCAACTTGCAACTTCCCCTGCAAATGTGCTGTCATTTTCGCTCTCTCGAGAGTATTCTCGAAAATTTTTAAGCTTCCTAGTTCGCGACGCGAGAATAACAAAAACATGTTAAAGGAAGAGATTTAAAAAAAATTGTGGCACACTCTAGTATGCCTTGCATTCATTTTTATTACGAAACTATTCCACTACTGACTTTTATTAACAATTAAAATGAATATTAATGTTTAAAAAGGCAATAATAAATAAATAAATTGATTAAAACTTTCTCTTCTCTGACAAATCTAGTTCATAATCAACATTTTCTAAACATTCTGTATCATTTTAGTTTAAGTTTTTTCATTTAGCATGAATTTTTCCCATCATAAAGCCCCAAAACTGCACATTTCTCTTTTCTTTTGACATTCATTGTTGCGTCTAGACAATCAAATTTAGAGTCATTTTTTGGAGAATTAAATGCCCTAGAAGAAAAAAATTCTTCTCAATCGGTACTTATAACATTTTTAATGAAAACAAATATGTTTACATGTTATTTACATGGAAAATTTCAAATGCCCACCGACACCGTTTAAAATTGGAATACAAATATGTCCAAGTGGGTGAATTTCCTTCTCAGTAAATAGGCCCTTTTAAGGCCATAAATTCGTTAGGTTTTTTTTTTTTGATCACCCTAATGTGCATACATGTATAGTATTTATATTTAATAAAGCAGTACATGTGTTATTAAATTATTCACACGTAAAAAGTGGAAAGTCGATTGTCCGTACTTACATAAATATGTATAATAATGGTATTCACACCAATTTCGTCACTTTGGAGGTTCATTGGTTGGCGGTTCGGCAAATGCGTTTTGCTGTGAACGACCTTTTAGACTTATTTAAGTTAGTTTGGCAATGAATTATAGTAATTTTATTATATGCAAGTACGAATACAATTAACATTTTAATGTATTTAATATGTGTACATTAAGCGCGGTGTACACACGCTCATTTATCTTTCAAGCAGTTGAAGAACTAGTTGATGTTGGTTGTTAATAAGTCATATGTAGGTAAGTTGATCAACTTTCGTCAAGTTGAAGGCAATTTAAAAATTTAAAAACAATTAACTAGGCCAAGGCTTGAAGATACTGTTTTGAAAAATTATTCTTGCCACTGAAAGTAAATCGCCCAAAAAATTGATGTGAATGCAGTAATCTTCGTTAAAAACAAAATGGATATACTTAATAGAAAATGCCCATATTCTCGGTCTAGCCCCCTATAAAATAAAGTTTTGGACGAATAAAAACATTAATAGGGGGCTAGAATGGGCTGAAATCTAAAAAAAAAATATTTTGTTTACATTTCACTAACTTTAATGTCTAATTAAAATGATTTTCTTTAAACAATGGCAAAAGTATTTATCTGTTGATATTATTGTAGCATCATAAAGATTACACAAACAATTTTTGGAAATGCAGCCAAATTTACAATCCTTAGCCAAATCGTTCCAGTAATGTAGACCAGACTGTCGTGGGAAATCCAAATCTGGCCTCTGGTTTCTCCTAAAGCCGTTGTTCTTTCGTGACTCACCTCACCTCAAGACGAAATAATAACAAAGAACCTAATGTTAGTAATATGAAGGTCTGTCTAGTATGCGGTAAGCCATAAATCATTGTTTTAATCAATGCGAATAATAATTAAATGATTAAAAGATTGTTAAGCATTAATATTTATGAAGGCGTCTAGTTACCTAACGTTCGAATTCGCTAATGTGACGATAACAGTTCGCATCACATCATAGTGATAAGCGTACAAAATAGTTTGGTAAAAAGTTCATTTAATTAAGCAAACTCGATAAAGTTGACTTCGTTGCCGTTAAGGTACACCCTCATGTAAATATACACGTACATATATGTGAGAGCTTAGTCACCCACTCACATACAAATATGTGCATCGGCATGCAACAATTGAAATCGTGTCCTGCATTTCGCAGCGATTCTAATAAAGTCTAGGGCTTTCGTTCAATTGCGACCGGCCGGTGATTCAAGTGCACGTGGCCTTTTGCATAAATTTATTTTATATGACACTTTTTAATGTGAATTTTCAATTAAAGTTTGCCTATGTATGCGTGTAAGTAAAACACATTAATATTAAAATGTATGTACATACATACATACACATATTTTTTTTTAGTGACTGCGCTTTATTAAATGCAGTAATGCAGTAGATATTTAGATATAGCTTTGCGACCGGTAGGTCTATTGTGCTCCATTAAATTTAATTGTTGGATGACTGAAAGTAGCACATACATACGTAAAACATTTAGTAAATATGGATGTATGTTATGGCAAATTTAAAGTACGGGGAGGCGCTGTAATGTAGATACTTTTCGACTAATTATGCTGAAAATGGGTCGAATCCGTTCACTGTTTTACTAAACAGCACGTCTAGTAAGTTGCATACGGAAACTGAACAAATCTTATGTTACAACTTATGTAATGCCGGAATTGTCCTAATGACATACATACATATGTACATACAGTGCCGGACAAAAGTATCGGCATAGAGAATTTTTCACAATGTTTGCAAAGCTTTTTATTCTAAGTTCTTTTCGCTATTTTTTTTTATAAAAATATAGATAGTGCATACTACAACAAAAAACATAAAAAATTAGATCTCCAAACTTTGTGCAAAAGTCCGAAAAATTCAATAAACTTGCGTACTAGTTTGCAACTTTCTAATCAGATTGTTTAGAAAAATTCTGATAAATATGCATTTTTTTCGCCCATTCAATTTTAGTATAACAAAGTGAAAGTTTGAAGTTGCTAAAAAATAGCGTTGATTTTTAGCAATTTTTTAACGCTTCTTCCACGCAAAATATGTTAGACAATATTTTTTGCATGAAAGAAAATATCCTTCCACATATAAAATTTTCCTGAGTTTTGCACAAACTTTAGACATTTTATTAACCAACGGGGGTAATCAATTCGTCCGAATATTTTTTTTATATATGTTACCGCATAACTTATAGTTGATTTCCACCAAGCCTTAACTGCAGTTTAAGCCTATTGGAAAATGGAGATTACAACTCGAAGGGAGTAGTTCCACCTATTAAGCAGAAGCAAACGAAAGGAAAATAGCAAACATTAAGAAATAAACCTTTTTTATGAACACATGTTAAAATAACAGCAGTTAAGCCTTTGGTGGAAATAGGCTCTTAAAAACAAGTATTCTTTATAATTCTGGTTATTAATATACTTTTCCGCTACGTAAAGTTTAACTCGTAATTTATGAGAGCGAAAGAGTCCGACTGGTTGACGGATCTCAGGATGACAAATGAAAGACTCATTTTAGACTAATAGATTCTCAGCACTCAGAAAATTGTTTGAAGAGTTCTTCTAACTAAAAACTTTTTTATGTACGACCTGAGGTTGGAAAATTGACAGTTTTGTGCCGCCTTCAAATTACAGCTGGTTTTTTATTAAAAGATTTTTCGTGGCAGAGTAAACTCGGAAGACTCGCGATGAGGTTATGTTGAAGTTGACAGACGTTACCATTTTTTACTAGAAAGCGATTCCGTACTTGTTACTCTCTCGCTCTGAGCGAATTAAAATTTTTTTTTACTAGTATTAGTCCAAGGAATACGGGATTGCACCTAATATTCTGAAAATTATCAACAAATGTCAAATAAATGTCACTGGAGAATCCCTCCAACACTCTTGCCAAGTTTATGGAGATAATAAAATTTCGGTTCATGCTGATAAAGTAGTCCGATCTTAAAAATATGCACACACTCATTTACACAATTGTATGTACATACTTATATGGAAAAACAAAAACAACGTAAAATAAAGTGCGACTTGGCTTGCCAATAAGTACTTATTTACATATGTACGCATAAAATGTAGATTAAAACCCTCAATTTCGCTGGTGGCGCGTGGATTTCTTTATATATGTAAACAAAAACATTGCTCGCATGAATTTGGGTGCTCATTAAAATTTGTGTCTATTCGGGTGCACACTTTTGACCTCTGAGATTGTTGGCATATGAACAAGGTATGCTCCAGAAAAAATGGACAGATATGTAGATATATTGAGTGCTTAGAATTGTCACATACAAATCGACAGACATGCTTTATAAACGAGAAATCACAGCTGGAAAAAAATAAAAATAAAATTTAACCCTTCATCAGCTCAGAAGGTTTTTATAAACCAACCGCCCAAAAGAGTCTTTTAGAATTCGAGCATGGTTTATGAAGAAAAACAGGTGAAACCATTGTTAATTGTAACATAAAACTTCACTTTTGGGTTATTGGATACTGTTAAGTTGTTTTATTTTAAGAAAATAGTTACATATTATTAAACAAAAAAAACATAGCGATAAATTTCCAACTGGTACGTCGGCACTATACCTGGGAGGCAAAACCGCTTTATGAGATGAGTTAATATAATCACTTTGCATTAACACTGCTTAAAGTTATACATATATGTAAATAGGTTTCGTAGGGTCATTCAATTTATATTAATTCACACCCTTTCATTGCCTTTGCACTAAACTATCTTTATCACTTCTAATCCCTCAAAACGCTGGAAATTGAAATATGTGCATATTTAAAAGCATTCTTACATACATACATACATATGTAGAGCATTGTGTCATCAGCTTAAGTTCATCCGTTGAATGCATTTACGTATATTAGTAGATGTGTACATTAGGGTGGGCCTTAAATGTAGGAAGCAAATTTTTACATCAGATTTCCTAAGCCTCCCCCCCTATGTCGATGCTACTATTGCCGAAGATATCACATATAAATTTGTATCCCGATTAAAATCGTTTAAGGCTTGTCGCACAGGGCTCAAAGTTCAGATTACCCTATGAAGACGTCATAACCGACTCCAATCGGAATCAAAATTTATATGTAATATCTTCGTATAGGTAGTTTTGGGTATTAGTCGAAAAAAAATTAATTTTAATTTTTTGAGTCTCTATAGAGGAATCTGAACAAAATTTATATGTGATATCTGTAACCGTGGTATTAGTGATTGAGGAGGGGAGACTGAAAAAAATCGTTCATTTGATATTAATGATCACCCTAATGTACATACATACATATCTATGTAAATATTACAGATTTAGAATGATTATGTAAGCGTAACGAGTACGGTGATGATCCGTCCGATATTATTCGGAACGGTCCTCTTTTAACCAATTTTCTGTTTATTTATTTGGTTTATACGGGGTGCAAAATGTTCGTAATTTAATGTCCCATATTTGTCCCATATGTATTCAATAATCAGTTTTAGTCACAGCGGCGGTATACGTGCGCTAAATTGCTTATTTTCCTGCAGGGTGTGTTTAATAAACATTACACATTCTTATGGAGCAGTATTTGTGCTGTCATGGAATTTTTCAAAAAATATTTCATTAGCAAGAAAGATAGGCATGTATGTGCATGCAATATGCAACAATTCACACGTGATCAGTCGTCTACTTCTGCTATATAAACAAAAAAAAATACAGATTTATTAGAAAAGTGGCTGTTTGGTAGTAAAAGTCATGCCTTCAGCTAATCTAGGCAAAATATCACAATAATGCATAGAAAAAATGGACAATACTGCAAATTTGTTGATAATGATATGTACATACATATATGCATACATATGTATGTATGTATGTATGTACATATATTAAATAAATATTGAGTGAAAACAGCTGTAACGTTCGAATTAAATTTAAGTATGTTTTAAATGAAACGTAGTAAAATAAAATATAATTAAAAATAAATAAAATTAAAAATATACAAAAAAAAATACAGACATTGTAAAAAAAAAATTTAACAAACTTTTCACGAATTGTTTCTTTCATTTTTAGTATCAACATGGCACCAAGGGATGCATCAATAAATCACAATACTNCATACATATATATTTAATAAATATTGAGTGAAAAAGCCGTAAGCTTCGAATTAAATTTAAGCAAAATATAATTCAAAAAAATTTTAATTAAAAATATACAAAAAAAAATACACAGACATTGTAAAAAAAATTAACAAACTTTTCTCGAATTGTTTCTTTCGTTTTTAGTATCAACATGGCACCAAGGGATGCATCAATAAATCACAATACTCTGGGTACTTTATCCGCTGAGAATGCCGATGGCAATAATTTGGGTCCATCTAAGCAAACTGGCGTCTTGTTTGAATGTGATGCCGACACGGCCGATGGAGCGCTGGCCATTGATGTGAATCTACGTAAGCGCGCAGAAAAACGTAAACTAAAATTGGTTTGGCGAAATATAATTCTCTTCGGATACCTGCATGTTGCGGCATTATATGGAGCTTGGCTACTCTTCACCTCTGCGAAATGGCCAACAGTTTTCTTTTGTAAGTATTTTTTTATTAAGTATTAATAGTTAGTTACGGTAGTGTTAATTCAATATTTACTACATATCAGCAAAAAAAAAAAATGTTCCAGGTGTTAATTTCACTTTTAGTAGCCGCACATTTGCATGCAAGCTGCTTGCGTGTAAATTTTTTCCAACACCTGTTGGTTTAAAACCCTATTTCCTAATGTATTGCAATTGATTTAATTACTGAGCGGCACACGAGTGTAAAGGTAGCTAATTGCCGGAAGTTTAATGCACTGCTACAAACTCAGCCATAATTACCATAAAAATACGTTGAGAATATGTAGTTGGTGCATTTTAATAAAAATTCTCACAAAAGTTGACTGTCACATCAATTTTTTATTCAATGAACTGCTATCTTGATTCGATGTTTATTTATAACTCCATTTATGTTTTTTATATTTCAGCGATTTTCCTCTATTCCATTGGTGTCTTGGGCATCACGGCTGGCGCACATCGTTTGTGGGCCCATCGCTCTTACAAAGCTAAATGGCCATTGCGTCTTATCTTGATTGCTTTCAATACATGCGCTTTCCAAGACGCTGCCTACCACTGGGCGCGTGATCACCGCGTGCATCACAAATTCTCCGAAACAGATGCCGATCCACACAATGCTACACGCGGCTTCTTCTTCTCGCATGTTGGCTGGTTGCTATGCAAGAAACATCCGGATGTGATTGCCAAGGGCAAGAGCTTAGATTTGACTGATTTACACGCCGATCGCATTTTGATGTTCCAGTTGAAGTAAGTTTCTTCGACTAAGGTTATATATATATAAAGAGAAATTTGTTAATTTATTCTTTATTAGACACTACATGTTGTTGATGCCATTGGCATGCTTTATTCTGCCCACCGTTATTCCCATGTACTTTTGGGATGAGTCCTTCATTAACTCGTGGTTCGTTGCGACCATGTTCCGTTGGTGCTTTTTGTTGAACGTCACCTGGTGTGTCAACAGTGCTGCGCATAAATTTGGCGGTCGTCCCTATGATAAGTGAGTAGTAAATATAACAAACACAAAATTACATCTTTAATTCAATTTAATTTTGCAGGAACATTAACCCATCTGAAAATCCCGGTGTCGCGCTGTTTGCCTTCGGCGAGGGCTGGCACAATTACCATCACGTTTTCCCCTGGGATTACAAAACCGCCGAATGGGGCAACTATTCCATGAATTTAACCACGGCTTTCATTGATTTCTTTGCTAAAATCGGTTGGGCATACGACTTAAAATCTGTATCTTCGGAAATCATTGAGAAGCGTGTCGCCCGTACTGGTGATGGCTCACACGAGCTTTGGGGCTATGGTGACAAGGACATAACCAAAGAAGATGAACAAGGCATTATTACAATAAATAAGAAATCTGAATAATGTGTTAGTTAATCTACATAAAAAATTATTCAACATAACTTGTATGAATCTGATATACATTTGTCTTACCTGAGCATAAAACGAATCTGTCATTAAGTCAGGGAAAAGCAAAAAGCAATAAAAATTAGAAGTGTGATTATTGTAAAACCTTTAGTAGTCTGAACTTGCATAGTCTTTTTACTGTCTTTTGCAAAATTGTAAAATGATGGTTTATGCAAATATCATTAAACATACTTATCAAAGAAAAATATACATTAAGTTCATTTATTAAAAAGTAGGAACATTTAGCTAAATTTCTGATATATGTACATAAGACTATAGAAATGCTAATTGGGCACCCGTTCCCTTGCTACCTTGCCACTAAGCGCGAAGAAATTAATTTGTGTAGCTCCAAGAGATATTGTATTTATTAATTTATATTCATTTTGTACATACTTACATATAAACGTTGCATATGAATGCATATTTAGTTATATTAATACATACGTTTAATCCTGGAAAAAAATTTCTTAATATGAATATACTTACCTATATATACAAACAAATCAAAAATAAATCTCATTTGCTATACGTAGTCCAAAAGGGAAATACCTTTGATCTTTTTCGCGCTTTGCTTTAAGGACTATTAGCGAAATTATAAGCAAATGTAAGTAGTATATTTTTAAATACCAGATTATACGACTTTACTAAATACATAATTTCAAATGCAATCGTCATAAAAGTCCTACACAGAAATTTTTTACAAGGTATCCCAATTACCAGCAAGGTGTGAGTATCTAGTCTATTTAGTCAGTTGAGTTACATGCAATCTCATAAATTTCAACGTCGTACAACCATTTTAGGGCATAGGGGAAATCAAGAAGAGTTCTACTATCGCCACGGATTATAAGAAGTCATCCTATTAAAGGTGAGTGCATTAAAGGCCTTAAAGGAAATTTGGAGTAGTTCTATTATAAGTTTATGTGGCATTATCACAATTAATCAAATTACGAAAAAAAATGTACATACAAACATGTAATAATGTACACCCAAATTCATAAAAAATAAAGAATACTTTGACTGATTTAGAAATCGCAAATTTTTGTGGAAACGTCACTTTGTAGAGCTCTTTAAACGTATTTTATTTTTACAAGTATTTATTATTTTTCACCTGTGTGTAATCTAATCTTGCAAGCAATTTTTAACCAACTTCACGATGAGCTAGACTTGAAACTTCCAACTTATCTCAGAACCCACATCATCACACAGGTGTCGAGATATTTGGAAAATTCGTATTTGGGTTATTCCATGTTAAGAGGAAAACGACATAAATTTTGAAATGCCCTAATTATCTTTATTTCAGTAGTAACTTCTTTTAAAATTACCACATTTCATTAACCAGTTGCACGATATTAAAAAATAACAAGTAATTTTTAGCAAAAAACAAACCTACTTCAACTCTAATATACAAAAAAATATATATATATATCGCTGCCTTAATATAGAAAGGCCCTATCTGACATCGTCGCTGATATACAAAAAGCCGTAACTAACTAAAAATCGAAAATTTACGTTTTAATTGATTATGATGCATTTGATCGCATTATATGGCCCCAAATCGTTTTATGCAATAAAAGATTTTAGTTAGTTACGGCTTTGTGTATTTCAGCGACGATGTGAGATAGGGCGTTTCTATATTAAGGCAACGATATGTAGGATGGCTCTTCAGAATTATAGTCATTTTTAATGTTTAAGTATAATAACAAACTTTATTCACATTAACCGTTTACATTTTTACTTATGAATTGCAACTTAATAGGGTTGAAGCCCGTCTATGTGGTCCGACGCGTTCGATCGTAAGTACGCGAATGCTTGTTTGTCTTGTCCGTCTTCTAACGCGATGTCCCTTTCGTCAAATCATTAGACCAGTTCTATTCCTTTATTCGTTATGTAGGGCTGCATTTCTATGTTACTAACTCTTAATGGCCAATTAGTCCTAGCATCATAAGTACTGTCCGTAAACTAATCCCACATATATATCTCATGATCCACTGATCGGATCTTACCAGATTAGTATGGGACCACCTCCGATACACTACCTTTCCGAAAGTGGTTGACGTGGTCCAAAGTTATGCGGTAACATACATAAAAAAAATATATATATATTCCGACGAACTGATAACCTCCTCCTTTTTTGGAAGTCGGTTAAAAAGAAGTTGTAATTTTTCTCTGTGCAAACTTTTACTTCATGCATAATTACTTGACACCAGTCACAAGGATATGTCCCAATAATCACAAATTTAAATATCTTTTAATATTCCTATGATGCCTAATTTGTATTGAAAACGAAAGCGTATAGTTCGCATGTTCTTCTCTGCGTGCAGAAAAGTAAAATAGAGTTCAGTGTCCCACTAGTCACATTCACTCAAATGTTAGTTACATAAAACTAAGAAATCGTTTGGTGTTTTTGTTAAAGCGATTTTATACACAATCTAAAGTTCTATGTCAAAAAATATATTTCACCGTTGTCGTTGTTCCACAACTGATCACATTCAGGAGAAAAATTTCCCACTAGTCACAATGGGATAGTTCATTTATATATTACTCAATTGGAAAGATTTTTATTTATTTTACGAATAAAAGCTTGTCTAAAAGCCAAGTGAAGCCAAGTCGTTCTCCACCTGGTCTTTCCAACGCAGACCTGCGTTGAATACTTTCAGAGCTGGAGCGTTTCCGTCAATTCGAACGACATTTCCTAGCCAGCGGAGCCACTGCATTTTAATATCTATTTAAAGTGTAAAAGTTTTGTTTTTTTTCTAAATTTTAACGAACAATTTATCCGTAAATCATTTTAACAGTTCAACTCCTCTGTTACTTTTTATTGTTATTTGTAGCAGTTAATTAATAAAATTTTAGTTTAAAAAACTAAAACCTCGCTATTATAATTTCCATTCGTACTGTAATCAGGTATGTAACTTGAGAATAGAAATCGCTGCACCTTTTAGGCGCATCAATATTACATAGATACATCCCGAGCTAATAAAAAGGGAAGTAAAAATGGTGCAATGTGGTATAGTCATTCTAAAATAAAACGTATGTACATAGGTATTCAAAATTAAAAAATGTATATTTTTATCAATAGCGGCGTAAATATATTAAGAGCACTACTAACTTTACATAAACAGTAACAACGCCAATCGCATCAGTGCATTGATCCTTTATCTTCTGCATAAAGAAAGTATATAGGGATTCGAGAACCATTTGGTAAATGAACTAATTCCTCGTGAGTTATAAGATGAATCGCAGCAAGCCCATAAAACAACATTGGCAATCCTAAAAAATGAATATTAAAACAAAAAAATATTAGGAGAAAACAATAGGCTTGCAATCTTTTTTATGTACCTAAATTTATAACTTTCAGAACCCGGAAAAATCGATCCTCCAAAGAGAGATCTTGAATAGCCCGTTTACTACAGTGGTATTTCATATATGGATAGCATCCTGTACGAAGTATGTGATAATTAGTTCCAGTATCAAGCGTCCAATTGAAGTGTGACCAACCGCGCTGATCATTCTCAACATCTTTAAACTGCAAATACAGTAACAACGAATATATCATATGTACACCAGTGTGCGGCAAATACCTTTACAAAATAAGACGTCCACGGGGGTTCGCTGCATTGTTTAAGGTAAGCCGTTAAGACCTCCGACGCTTTGGGCTTTAATAAAATTGCAGTCAAACGCATTTTTCACTATCTCATTGCGTCACTTCTCAACATTTTTGTAAGTTTTTGTTTTGGTTTGTTTTCCAATAGCCACTTGCCAGTTGATAAGGTCACGTGATGTTGCAGAATGGAAAACAATACTCTCATTCCTTTGATGTTCTGTCTGCATCCTTCGAATGTGTTTTTTTTTACCTGTTCTTTTTAAGCCGAAAACATTGATTTTTCACTTCCAATTGGGTTTTGTTTTATTTATGTTTGGTCAAATTCTAATAAGCACAAGCACATATATCTACCTTGAAGTGAATCAGATGACCTTGCAACAGCTGACGACAGTGGCGTCCAATGTAATTGTTACTACACCGACAAAGTGTTATAAAAAATTTAAAGCCATTTCTATGTAATTTCTGAAGAATTTCAACTAAAATAACCTTTTTTCAACAAAATAATTTCTATATGTTTAATATTGACGTAACACACTATAAAATATAGTCTATAAAGTCAGTAGAAATGTTTTATCAAGTCGAACATCAAACAAGAAATTTGTAACCATTTTTACGGTTGCATTTACACATCACTGACTGCCAACTCAGCTGTTGTCGCAAAGCATTGCCAGTGCCAATTGCCCACTTTTTGTTAGTGTTTTCTTTGTAGATTATTTGCGAATAGTAAAGAATAGTAGATACATATCGTTCTTAATTCGTTGTTCATATCTATTGTTCTGCAGTGTTTGCTTACGGATTACGTGATAATACTCAAGTTGGTTTTTTTCTTTATACAAATTTGCCAGTTAATTTATTCATTTATCAAATTACAATCTTTTAGACAACAGCTTCAATATGTGGCCCCGCTTATTGTTTACTGCTAGACGTAGTGCAGTTCAAATAAATATCGAAAATGCGTTAAAAATCTCTTCCCGTGCTTCATCAAGCCAAGCGAGGCAAGCGGAAATTTCGGAGGCTAAATTGACAAACTCAGTATTATCGTCAGAAAAATTTGCTGACATTCGCATATATAATGAACCAATTCCGCAATACCTATCCGGTTCCGATGACATTAAAAAATTGGAGAACGCTCTTGAGCGATACCAAAATAACTGCGAAGACATCCCCATTGTTATAAATGGTAAGGAAATAAGGAAGGGCAAGGAGGTATATCAGGTTATTCCCCACAGGAAAAGTCATAAACTTGCCAAGTATTACTATGCTGATGATGCCACCATAAAGGAGGCAATTCAAGCTTCAGTTAAAAAGCAAAAGGAATGGGATAGGACTCCTCTCACAAAGCGTATCGAAATATGGGAGCGGGCAGCTGATCTTATGTCCAAAAAATACCGTGCAGATCTTCTAGCAACTACCATGTTGGGCCAATCAAAAACTGTTATACAGGCCGAAATTGATTCTGGTGCTGAATTAATCGATTTCACGCGCATGAATGCTGGTTACTTGAAGCAGCTGGCCAATGATCAACCGCTTAGCCCCACTCCAGATGTCACCAAAAACCATTTACGTTTCCGTGGGTTAGAGGGTTTTGTAGCAGCTATAACTCCCTTTAATTTCACTGCAATCGGTGGAAATTTGGCCTACACCCCAGCACTAATGGGTTGCAGCGTGTTGTGGAAACCGTCCGATACGGCGATGCTCTCCAGCTGGACGGTGTTCAAGATAATGCGTGAAGCCGGTGTACCCGATGGTGTAGTAAACTTCGTGCCAGCCATTGGTAATTTGATAAAAAAAAATTAATTTTTACCTATAATTTGTATTGTGTATTGTTGTAATATCTGCTCTATTTGATAGGTAAGAACTTCGGTGATGCGATAACAAGTTCTCCCGATTTGGCTGGCATCAATTTCACAGGATCCACGGCGACTTTCAAAACTCTGTGGAAGTTGGTGGGTAACAAAATTGATGATTACAAAAATTACCCACGCTTGGTTGGTGAGTGCGGTGGCAAGAATTTCCATTTTATTCATCCATCAGCGCATGTGGAGACAGCCGTTGCACAAACTATTCGTTCGGCTTTCGAATATGGTGGACAGAAGTGTTCGGCTTGCTCTCGCCTATATGTCCCTGAATCACTATGGGAATCGCAGTTCAAAGGGCCGTTGATTGAAAAAGTAAAGAAGTTGAAAGTGGGTGACGCCTGCGAAGTTGATACATTTTATTCGGCTGTTATTGATGACAACTCGTTCCAACGAATTTCGGGATTTATTAACGAGGTTAAGGAAGATCCTGAATGCACTGTATTGGCTGGTGGTAATTTGTCGAATGTAAAAGGGTTCTTTGTGGAACCAACCATTGTTGAAGTCAAAGATCCGCACAAGCGTGTTATACGCGATGAAATCTTTGGGCCAGTGTTGTCGGTATATGTTTATAAGGATGGCGATTTGAAGAAGACTATTGATTTGGTTAGGAACACCACCAAATATGCATTAACTGGTAGCGTTTTTGCCACGGATGAATCATTTTTGAAACAAGCGTTAGACGAGTTCAAGGACGCCGCCGGCAACTTCTATATCAATGATAAATCGACTGGTGCAGTTGTTGGCCAACAGCCATTCGGTGGTGCACGCCAATCGGGAACAAACGATAAAGCCGGTTGCCCATTTTATCTGTTGCGTTGGGCTTCATTGCAGGCCGTAAAAGAGACATTTGTCCCAATACCAGATATTTATTATCCTTATATGAACAAAACAAACAATTAAATTACTAATTATGATATTCCTCTGTAACTAAAACTAAACGAATCTCGAATGGCAGTTAAAAATTAGAAGCTTTTAATTATGTGGCTACTAACTAATTTATTCCGCGGATACAGAAATACAAGTCTACTGAATGAATTACGAAATTATGAATCTCGATTTTCACAGTGTATTGTATTTACATATATGTGATGAAATCTCCTAAATGAAAAATGAACTTGAATATTTACAGATTACATAGAATATCTGTTTGGAAAGCTTAACTCTCCTGAGCATACATATACTATTAGCATTGGAAGTCAAGCCCTCCATTTGTTATCAGTTGTATTAACTCTGGTTCGTTGGTGGCACAGTTTACACATACCTATGCATGTATGTATGTACATACATATAATAAAATGAACACAGATCTGCGATAAGCGATGGTTTTTTTGTTTGTTTGTTTTTATAATCATTAATTGTTTAGAGGTCAGGCCTAGTCATAAGCGTGTCTATAATTGCAGTCACAGAATAAATACTGATAAAAGTATATATTTTGAATTAGTTCTGTGTCTGCAAATTACATACATAATTGGACAATATTCAAATCTTTTAAATAAAAATAATATATACTTACATACATACATATAAAGTGGAGTATTTGTATTCTAAGTGGGAAAATACATATTGGCAGATAAACTACAAAAAAAAAACCGATCCGGAGTGATCAACAAGCGGCTAGTCCTAGATTACCGTTATAAGTTTACATCCTTTGGGGAGGCATACAACTTGTGTGATTATGCATTTGTGGAGCATCAAAACATTTGTCACAAATGAAAAGTAAAGCTTGTCCAAACATTTAAATATGCTGACGCAGTAATCTTTTGGAATGCTATGATTGTATCTTCTAATACTTATATTTATTTATAACCATATTCTATGTACTTTGTGTATGTGTACTAATTTGTTTAAGCTCATTGCAATAAAATGTACTGGTAGATGAGAAGTCATTTTAAGGTTTTCAGTGCATTAACGTTGAAGATAAAGATGAAATTGCAAAGTTATGTTGAGTTGACTTATCATCGTGGGTGATAAATCTCACTGCTAATAAATTTTTAACAACTTGCCGGATGATACTGCAATAACCTACTGCGTCGTAGTCAAGTTTGTTTGCGTTCAAAGTTTAATGTACCCAAAAAATTAAGAATTAATCATCAATTATACTTAGGAAGGTGTAAATTTTTTTGTTCCTTCAAAATCGTCGTACATTTTAGCCCATCTAAGGGAGCAATCCGTCCGCTATTAATGCGCAATTTTTATTTATTTTACATACCGTTTTGTTACGAGGTATAAGGATTTATATGGAACGACCTCGATAAAATTTCTCAAATTCAGATACCTTTTGCAGATAAAGTCATATTGTTTTTAAGATATACATATGTATATACAATTTAGACATTCCGTTCAGATTTAGGATGTGTAGCTCAGAAACCGTAAAAAAATCGTCTTAAAGCTCTTTCGCCCGACATTGCGATATGTACACATCTTAGCTGAAGAACTAATTTGAATTTGATTGTTCGAACAAATGGCAACACTCCTAAATAATTGGAAATTTTTAATGTATCTTTTCAAACATGCAGCAACCCCCTTCAAACATTCCAAATGGTCAAGCTAAAGATTTCTTAACATTCTTTCGTTTGACTACGGTATTTTTATATTTCATATACTTTTTGTATTAGTTATTTGAGTTAGACCTTTCAAACAGGTGGCAGCCCTCTTCAAAACTATTTTGAAGCTAAATCCTTGTTAACTCTCCTTCGCCTGACATTGCGAGACATATTTTAATTAACTGATGAATGAAATGGAATTTGATTTTTTTAACGTGCGGCGACCACGCTAAGTACAGTTTAGAAATAAAAGTTTTGCAAAATCCCTTCGACTGATATCCATATTTTAATAATTCATTTAACTTATTAAATAATTTGAATTTAACTTTTCAACACCTTAAAAATATTCTAGCGTTCAAACTAGATATTTCTTAACGCTCCTTCGTTTGATATCCATATTTTGATGTTTCAAATAACTTGTGTATAAGTAAACTAAGTTCGACATTTCAAGCAGGTGGCAACCCTCTTCAAAATACTTTCAAACTACTACTTTCTGAAACGCCTTTCGTTTGTTACCTTTATGGTGATACATATTTTTTTTCCTTATATGATTTTTAAACAGGTGGCAACCCTCCTATAGTTCAGCTAAAGAACCAAAGCTTTTCAAAACCCATTTTATAACAATTGATTTTTTTTTCAATAATTTGAATATAAGTTATTAAAGGTGGCAACTCTTATCGAAAAAGTTTAAGACCTTATTTGTTATTTTTACTTCTTTACTAAGCTTCTACCCCGACTTAGGCTGCTTTTATTAAACGGCACAGGTATATACAAAATATTTTGCAATAAAAATGATTTGTATACGAATTTGCATTAACTTCATAGTTCTCTTAAAACAGTTGCAGTCTTAAAACTGCTGCACTTATCGTCACTTTGCGTCTTCATATGTGGGGAAGCCTTAAAGGCCACCTGTGGATTAAAAAGAAACGGATGTTGGTATAACAGACTGAGTGGGGTGAGGCGGAAATTGCTGACGGCAGAGATCTGAGCACTTGTGTCTTTTCAATGCCACAGGATACTAGGCCACCATTACTTTTATTGAAGAGTTTCTATAATGTTGAATTCCCTGAGGCTTAATGTTGGTTTAATACCAGCACTGAGCCCGGACTCACACATTATCGAATCTTCACTGATGGCTTCAAAACTGACTCTGTGTCTGATTCTGGAGTTTTCGTCGAAGTTAATGGGGATATTCTTCACCTTTCTCTTGGGGATTATGATTCGGTCTTCCAGGCTGAGGTATTTCCAATCCTCAGGGCCATGGACTACGTTGTGGAAAATAGTGATAGCCAACCTGCACTTACGGCATTGTCCAGCCCTCGTAACTACTTCCAAACTAGTTCGGCAGCGCAGGTCTCGACTAGGCGCCAGGTCACTCGGGAGTACCTGGTATTGCGACATTTAACCATTTGGCCAGAACTGGCTCAGACCAGGTGTTCCTCGGTCCGTAACCTTCGGCCATTGAAACCACCATCAGAAACTGCGTGAATGCTTCGCTTAGCAATGACTGGAAGGCATCGAGGGACTGCAGGTGGGCCAAACACCTGACTGTGATAGCCGTACATGACAACTCCTTTTGCCCATCCTACCTTGCAGAGGAGGAGACGGTGGAACACTTTTTGTGCTTTTGTCTCGCCTTTGCAAGAATGAGGTGTGAGACATTCGGCCGCGATGTGTAGAGGACGAACACCTGAGCTCTTTGACACCCAACAATACGCTTGGGTTTATTCGTAAATCGTCCAGATTTAAAACAGATTAAAAGGGACATGAAAACTTTACAATGTACGGCATGTAGTCTAAAGGTGTTCTTACACGATATGTATTTGCATCTGTAAATGTGACTATTTCAATACATATGTAATTGCGTATGTCTAAATTCACAGTCTTTATTTAACTATTTAAAAATACGTTCTTTGAAAACGAAATACATAAACTAAACTCAGATGATTCTATCTGTATGTCAGATGAAAACAGAAACATTTCTATTTCGTATGTACCTGTATCTGCTTTGTACAGAAACAAATCTAATTTGCCTTTACACGATATGTTGACATTTCCATATGTAAAAAGTGGCATGTACACATGCAAATACATATCGTGTAAGAACACCTTAAGCAGGGTTCGTATTTGCACACACATGCTCTGCTCACACACACGCCAGAAACACATTCAACTTGTACTCACTGCTCATACACATGTGTGTGCATAAGTGGAAAACAAACTCTGCTCACAGAAAAGTGTGTGCTGTTTGTTATTAGCATGCACATGTGTGTGAGCCGATTTTTGTCCAAATTTCAGCCCATGCACGTGCACATAATATATTTTTAAAAGAATTTGTTTATTAAACGTTATTTTTTGAAAGACAATTCAATAAAAAGTGAGATGTTGTTTGTTTTTTATATGACAGAAAACATATTAAACAAGTAAGAAAGTCTAAGTTCGGGCGGGGCCGAACATTAAATACCCGGCGCAAGTATTACATATATGGCTTTTCACCTTTCCGAAAGCTACCGCTACATGGTAAGCCGGGGTGTATCAATTTTGAATAAATTAGCGTCCTTAAATTTCGAAATATTGACGTTTCAAGCATTTTTTAAATTTACCGTTATATGAAAAGCCGTAATTTTAGTCCGATTTCAATAATTTTGAACGTTTTGCTTTTATGTGGCAAGCACAATAACCATACCGAGTTTGGATACAAATTGGTGGAACGGTTACCGAGATACATATATGTGATCATAAGTGGGCGGTGCCACGCCCATTTTCCAAAATGTTATGATAAGCGTATTTCCTGGTAAAGAATTGTTGCAAGCATCAATTTTTAATAAATTAGCTTTAATATTTACTGATTTATCGAAGATTTCGTATTTCTCCAAATTACCGTTATATGGGATGTAGGCGTGGTTATTGTCCGATATTTAAAATTTTCAGCCATTTGGTATCCTGTACCAAGGTCAATAACTGTGCCAAGTTTGGAAGAAATCGGTGCAGCGGTTGCCAAGATATACACATGTAACCATAAGTGGGCGTGGCTACGCCCATTTTTCAAAAATTTATAATATTCTTATTTTTCGTCTAAAAGTTATTGCAAATATCAATTTTGAGTGAATAATCTTCAGTAGTTACTAAAATATCGCAGTTTTCGTATTTCTGAAAATTACCGTTATATGGGAGGTAGGCGTGGTTATTGTCCGATTTTGCCCATTTTCAATACCATCCGTCCTACGCCCGAAAGAAGTACACGTACCAAGTTTCGTTAAGATATCTTAATTTTTACTCGAGTTATCGTGTGCACAGACGGACAGACGGACGGACGGACGGACGGACGGACAGACAGTCACCGCTTAATCGATTTCTCTTTTCATCCTGATCATTTATGTATACATTTGTCTATATCTATCTCGATTCGTTTTGCCTGTTACAAACAACCGTTATGTGAACAAAGTTATAATACCCTTGTGCACAAGTGCGCTCGGGTATAAAAATTATTTTAAGATTTGAGATAGAAATCGAAGTGTATAAGTTTCTCTACGCAAAGCACCCACATGTGCGTGTGCTTTATATTAATAAAAATAAAGTACACACATGAGCCCGTGCTTTTTACCAAACAGCACACACATGTGATGTGAGCAAGTTTTTAATTTTTTATATGCACAGCACACGTGTGTGAGCGTAAAATGTTAGGATGTGCTGCGCATGTGTGTGCAAATACGAACCCTGAGTCTAAGTATTGGTTCCAGCACGCGTTGTTTTGTGCCTAGTTGCAACAAAAAAACCCCGGTGTTACAAAAAAAAAAAAACATCATGAAATACACCCCACCAAAAAATTTTTGTTGCCGGAAATAAGAAAACGTGGGCTCGGAAACAAATTTATCGTCGGTAATATCGCCATCGTATCGATTTCTTATTGCCAGTTGCTCTAAAACGTCCGCCGAAGGCAACTCGCCTGAGGAGTCGTTTTCTTATTACCCGAATGCGACGTTTTCTTATCGCTTCAGGCGATATTTGGATTAATTTTATTATTTTTAATACTTCGTTCATTTTTTTGTGTACAACATTGGAACTTAGAAACGGAATTAATTCTTCCTTTCGCTTAGGTATATTACATTTGTTTTTTTTTGTTTTTTTTTTTTAATTTTATTTATGTATTTACACACTTGTAACAACATCGTATGAGCTTGCATATTTATTTTTGATGTAAAGTACGTAGCAATATAACACTCGTTTTGTTGTTGTTGCAAAAGCAACATGCTAGATTGTTGCGTAGTAACCTTACACCTAAAATGCTACAAATCTTGAACTCCCATCCTATTCATATGTTGCAAATATACATACATACATACATATGAATTTATGCACATATGGATGCAAGCAAGTTCTTATGAACTGCAATGCATTTTCCAGCGAAACGAACGTCATTGTATTGTACGTTCTGATTCTTGGGGAATCTACTTGATTTTACAACAATTTTCCACTCGTAAATATACCCTCTACATAATTAGAAGTATTCCTACAAAATATATGGTACAGATTTAAAAAAACGTTTGGTGTCATACCTGCCGTCTCAACAAGCTTTTGTAACATTCCATAGAAGCTTTACAGCTACACTTGCCAACTATTACTTTTTAACATGACTTCATCCTGCAAGCTTGTTCCTAATGCGTGCAGGGTATCTGCACTCATTGTTTCGTTGACCCGTTTCATAATGTTTTTACATATATACAAACATACGTGTATACATAACTTGATGGGGTTTTTCGTAAACTGTTTCCCATACTTGTATGAACATTATTACAGGCCTATACATATACATACAACTACGGTGTTGGTTGCAGCTACTGACAACCCACAGTCCGCAGCCATAAATACTCCAAGCCGTGCTTTACTCTAATCAGTTGGCATTCGCATTTGCTTTGTGGTCGAACTAAAAAATGCAGTGCCACATAGCAGTTTGTGTTGTTCTCACCTTAGTTGTGTTAGATTACGTAGCGGCAATCCAGGTGACCACTTCATTGGGTGAAATACTTGGCACAACATTGAAATCCCGTTTGGGTGCCGACTTCTATGCATTCCGTGGCATACGTTATGCACAACCACCAGTTGGAGAATTACGATTCCAAAATCCTAAGCCCTACCCATCATGGAAACCGATCGTTTTCGATGCTACACAAGATGGGCCCATGTGCCCGCAAGTTACGGAAAATGTTACCGATGCATCGGAGGATTGTTTACGTTTAAATGTTTATACCAAGGAAATAGTAGGAGCGAGGAAGCCAGTTGTGGTGTACCTGCATCCGGGTGGATTTTATGGTGTATCTGCACAGAGCAAGAACTTTGCTGGCGCAGAGCATTTAATGGATCGTGATGTAGTTTTGGTGACCTTAAACTATCGCTTAGGTACACTGGGTTTTTTGGCCACTGGCAGTGCTGAAGCACCTGGAAATGCGGGATTGAAAGATCAGGTTGAAGCTTTACGTTGGGTGCGGGATCATATTAGTGATTTCGGTGGCGATCCAAATTCAGTGACATTGCTTGGCTACAGTGCGGGCAGCTTTAGTATTGGTCTGCATATGATGTCGCCTATGTCGAAAGGATTATTCCATCGCGGCATAATGATGAGTGCTTCACCGCTGGGACAGTTCGGATACGAGAGACGACAGAAAAGACTGAGTGATAGACAAGCAGATTTATTAAACTGTCCCCAAGAGCCAGCTGCCGAGTTGGTGAAGTGTCTGAAGAAGGTAGGACGACAATATTGCCGTTAGTGTTGTGCTTCGCTTAGACAGTGATTAGTTCTTCATAGCATTCGATGCTTGATCTTATTGTGTATTAATATTTATATAGAAACCAATGTTGGACTTTGTGAACAGCTCAGCTCAAATGTTTGATTTCAATTGGAATCCTGTCTTAAATTGGATGCCAGTGATCGAAGATGATTTTGGACAAGAGCGCTTTTTGGTGGAGGATCCATATAAGACCATACAAAGCGAAAGGCTCTACAAAGTACCACTTATAATCGGTATAACGGAGTATGAATTCGTTGGTGGTGCCTATTGTAAGAACATCCATAACATCCTCTACATATAAGATTTCGAATTTCATAAAGTATGGTTGCCCTTTAGATATCCTGAAAAATGAGACTACAAGGAAATGGTTGAATGAAGATTTCGAAAAATATGCACCAATTACACTTATGTACGAACGTGACACGGCGCGTTCGAAACATATAACTCAGACGTTGCGCTCAAAATACCTAGGAAATTCTACCTTGACGTTTCCCGAATCTTTGGACTCATTTGGGAAGCTGTATTCTGATGGCATCATTAACTTTGAATATCATCGTTTCCTGGATTTGGTGTCACGGGCTACGCCCGTCTATACGTACCTATTCACCTACAAAGGACGTTATAGTCATTTCCAGTATAATGGTGAAGTTTACGGTAAGCTATTGATAAATAGTTGCATTCAAAGTAAACCATCACACAAAAACAAAAAAAAATTACAATTTATAATTGAAAGGTGCGGTACATCACGACGAATTGCTATATTTGTTACGAGTACCTGTTATGACGCCTCTTTTCACGCAAAGTGATCCCGAAAATGTGGTTATTGAAAATTTAACTCGTATGTGGACGGAGTTCGCCAAAAAAGGGTAAGATATTTTGAAGAAGGATATTATTTTAGTTTTTAAAGGTTTGAAATTATCTAAAGTGCTAAGAAATTTCGAGCCAACTCAATCGTCATTTTCTTGAGGTGCATCTGCACCCTATAAACATAAATATGTCTCGATAAACATACAATGCTTTTTCAACATTACCAATAGACTTTCGAAGTGAAAAGAGCTCGAAATGTATAGAGGGTTAACTAAGCATCCAACAAACCAGAGTTAGATGCAAGTCGCTCAAAATACCTTTGGTACTTACTGCGTTCAGAGTCTAGCCACTCAGTTGTTATGACTCTCAAAGAGGACCAACTGACACCCCAGATTGGCACAGGTCCCGAAAAGACAGTTATCGTCAACTCGTTATTCTTGTGCCAACTCATCGGCGTCCTCATTTCATTCGATTCCACAATGGCCTGGTACCCAGCAAAGTGTTACCTCGTTTTTGGCTCCTAAGCGGGTCAAATTAATCTCTAAACACCTTGGATTTCATCGTCCGGTTGGAAAGGGCCCAGAAAGGTGCCTTTCAAATTTTCAAGGTTTAATTTTGCGCATTTTAAGATTGCCAATATTTCAGCCTAAAACACCGTGGGCCATTTGCCACAATTTTACCTATATGAATTTTTAGGAGAAGAAAGTGGAAATATCGGGTTTTTATACCTGATAAAAGGGCTCTCACTTAATTGCAATGTTCTTTGGATGTTGTTGGCTAGTCTTAAATTTCTTATCGCATTAGTTAAGGCTTTAAAGCTTGCTTTCATCTGCGTTAAAAACATTTTCAACCCTATAAGCAATTTGATATTCGACAAGTTTGCCAAATTTTTAACAAAATTTCCGAGAAAGTCTACTTTCGATAAAAAATATCACCGTAATAAACATTGCTTTCTTCCGATTTTTTTTAGACTTCGAGAAGTATGATCTTTTATTTATACAATACTAGAGAAAATCTCGTCAAAATCCGTTCAGTAGTTTTCGGGGTTTCGACTTTCCTTTGTACTATATATGGAAGAAGCTTCTGTGTATTAGATGCATCTTGCGAAAGTGTAACGTAATTAGCGTGTGATTTGTTGTTGTTAGTGGTATAATAAATACAGTTGCAACAACAATCACACCCTCATCCAATTAAACTTACGCTAGACATAACGAATAAACAGAATTCTACTACTGTTTATCCAAATTGAATGATAAATGTAGAAGCTATGAGCATTTAATTAGAAATACCAACAAAAATTTTGCATACAAATTTATGGCTTCAAAAATTTAGGTATGTTACTTTGTAGTCAATTAAATTTTAGTAGTATAATGTGCAAGTTTCAAAGGTCAAAATGTATGATGTAATGCGGCGGAACGATTTTCCGTCATCACTTGTCGAATTTGGTTTGGAGACAGGCAAAATTTATGTTTATTTATTTATTTATTTTTAATAATTTCCATTTTAAACTAGTTCAATCCATAATAGAAATCACTTAAATAAAAGTTCCAAAGCTTACACAAAATTCACAATTGTCTTAAAAATTGCAACTTTTTATTCAGAATTTTTAGAGAATTTTCGAGTATGCAGTTTTTAGCCGATTCAGTTCTCTAAAATTTACAGTTAACTTTGGATATTTTTTTGCCGAGGGTATTGCAAAATAAATTTTATTAAGTGCATGGTCTTGAATCTATTCTCAATTTATTAATTTCGTATACGAATATTTTTATATAATTTTTTCAGAGATCCAAATAATGTAAGCGACAAGTTCTTAAAGAATTTAAAATGGCCGCTGTATTCCAAAGATAAGAAGCCTTACTTGGTAATCGGAAAGGATTTCACCGTTTCAGAAGGTGGCATTTACACTGAAAGATTCCAAATCTGGGATGAGTTATTCCCCGTGCCAAATTTCAACTAAGTATGTACATCTTATACAAGCGGACTTTTTTTTTGAAGGTTCCTATTCTATTGATAAGAATATCGGGGGCCTATATTCAATACCGCCCAACTGCAATTTTCACAAAAATGAGATTCTGATTTAAAAACCCACCTAAGACTTAACTGTCATCGGTAATATTAATGCTGACCTTGTATAACGCTTGGCAGAAGAATTCACTATTAAATTGTAAAATCGGAATTAGCATCAGTGATGACAGGCAAGTCCCAGATGGGTTTTATCATCACAAAGTAGTTTTTGTGAAAATTGCACATAGAGGGTATTGAGTATAAGCCCCCGATATACTTAGAAAAAAAAAAGAAAAAGAAAAAAAAATTAAAATATATTTTTAATGCAAAAAAAAATAAAGAACAATGAAAAATTTAATAATAATAATATTAGATTGGCGCTTACACATATGTTAATTTTTAGCCGAGCTTCTCCGATTTGTCGCGTCTGCCTTCGTGTTTTCACACAAAGCGGAGGGACCTATAGTTTTACGAACGGCGATTGATCATGGCAGAAATACACTCGGACGTTTGCCTTAGCCTACCGAGGGACGACCGCTGTTAAGAAAACACCTTTTTTCTAATTTTTTTTTTTGCGATTTTAGTAGTAGTGTATTTATTTATTTCCAAAAGGATTTTGCGTCAAGTCTTAACAACCCACCTATAGCACGGAGAATCAGGCTTATAGATAAGGCGGAGACTCATCGTTAAAATATACAATGAATGGAAAATCGTTCAGTTAGTTAGGAAACTGAGATTCCAGTCTTCGGGCATGTATTCATCAGGCCAGATTCTTCTTAAAAGCTGGTACATGCGCCCCACCAACACTTCACTTTGAAAAACTCAACCAGTATACCGTCAGCTACGGGGGCCTTGTTGTTCTGAAGCCGCCATATTGCTGTTCTCACCTCGTTTTGGGGCCATGGGTTTCGTCCCTATGCATTGGTTCGGGTTCTTCTTCATCAAGCGCGCCTTCCCAGTCGCCATTTAAGCGCCACTCAAGCGTTCCCTCCATATCTCAAGTGTACTCTGGACATGTGTTATCAAATTTCCGTCTTCATCTTTGCAGGAGCAAGCCCCGGCTTTTACCACAATTTTGATTGAGTCCTTATCATTGATTGACTCATCATTAAAAAAAAAACGTCTATATAGAACCTAAGGAAATACTATTATCTGGGCGAGATATACAAATGGTTAAAAAACCGGTATTACTGTATCAAGCTAACAGAAGTTTGAGCTGATATATGTAGGAACTGACTTTTCAAACTGTGTTTGTATTTCCCATACTCTTTAAAACATACACACCTACGCACATGTATGTTTATGAAGCCGGGTATAAGTCGCAGGTGCTGACAAACCGCACTGCCTAATTAAGTTTCTAACTACCGCCATTTGTTTGCACACGATGTTTAATTATTTTTCGGTGTCTACAGATAATTGCTCGCGCGGGTGAATATTATGTTGTCTTAATATTCCGCAGCCATAAATACTCCAAGCCGTGCTTTACTCTAATCAGTTGGCATTCGCATTTGCTTTGTGATCGCACTAAAAAATGCAGCGCCTCATTGTAGTTTGTGTTGTTCTCACCTTAGTTGTGTTAGATTGCGTAGCGGCAATCCAGGTGACCACTTCATTGGGTGAAATACTTGGCACAACATTGAAATCCCGTTTGGGTGCCGACTTCTATGCATTCCGTGGCATACGTTATGCACAACCACCAATTGGAGAATTACGATTCCAAAATCCTAAGCCCTACCCATCATGGAAACCGAACATTTTAGATGCTACACAAGATGGGCCGATGTGCCCGCAAGTCACAGATAATATCACCGATGCATCGGAGGATTGTTTACGTTTGAATGTTTACTCCAAGGAACTAGTGGGAGCAAAGAAGCCAGTTTTGGTGTACCTGCATCCGGGGGGATTTTACAGTGTGTCGGGCCAGAGCAAGAACTATGCTGGTCCACAGCATTTAATGGATCGTGATATAGTTTTGGTGACCTTAAACTATCGCTTAGGTACACTGGGTTTTTTGGCCACTGGCAGTGCTGAAGCACCTGGAAATGCGGGATTGAAAGATCAGGTTGAAGCTTTACGTTGGGTGCGGGATCATATTAGTGATTTCGGTGGCGATCCAAATTCAGTGACATTGCTGGGCTACAGTGCGGGCAGCTTTAGTATTGGTCTGCACATGATGTCGCCTATGTCTAAAGGATTATTCCATCGCGGCATAATGATGAGTGATTCACCGTTGGCGCAATTTGGATACGAAAACAAACAGAAGAGACTGAGCGATCGACAGGCAGATTTGTTAAACTGTCCCCAAGAGCCAGAAACCGAGTTGGTGAAGTGTCTGAAGAAGGTAGGACGACAAGACGATAACGGCAGCATTGTTTCTATTTTTCATGTATATTTTTTGTATACCCGAGCGCACTAGTGCACAAGGGCATTATAACCTTGTTCACATAAGGGTTATGTATACATAAATGATCAGAATGAAAAGAGAAATCGATTAAGCGGTGACTGTCCGTCCATCCGTCTGTCCGTCCGTCTGTGTATACGATAACTCAGTCAAAATTAAGAAATCTTAACGAAACTTGGTACGTGTACTTCATTCGGACGTAGGACGGATGGTATTGAAAATGGGCAATAACCACGCCTACCTCCCAGATAACGGTAGTTTTCAGATATACGAAAACTGCGATATGTCAGTAACTACTGACGATTATTCACTCAAAATTTATACTTACGATAACTTTTAGACAAAAAAAAGAATGGAAAATGGTCACTTGTGTATGTCTTGGTAACTGCTCCACCGATTTCTCCCAAACTTGGCACAGCTATTGGCTTTGAATGCTAATTTTACTCAAACTGATACTAATAACAATCTCTTGAAGTTGGAATTTCGGAAAATGATGGCGTGATTCCGCCCACATATGACTATATAAGTTTATCTCATTATTGCTAACTGAAAGTTCTATCGGAGATGTTTAAAATAGGGGTTAAAACCAACCCTGCTTACCATGTAGCAGTAGTTTTCGGAAAGGTGAAAAACATATATGTAACTTCTTACTTGTTTTAAATTATTTTTGTATAGAAATCAATGTTGGACTTTGTGAACACAGAAGCTCAAATGTTTGATTTAAACTGGAATCCTATTATAAATTGGATGCCCGTGATTGAGGACGATTTTGGACAAGAGCGTTTCTTGGTGGAGGACCCATTCGAGACCATCCAAAGCGAAAATCTTTACACAGTACCACTTATAATCGGTATAACGGAGTATGAGTTTATCGGTGGTGCATACAGTAAGAACCTCTTCAAAATCTCGATTAAAAAACAATTTGGCTTTCATGGCTACTCATTTCGTTTCGTCTCTTTAGACCTCCTCAATAATGAGACCGCAAGGAACTGGTTGAACGAGGATTTCGAAAAATATGCACCAATTACACTTATGTATGAACGTAACACCACGCGTTCGAAAAATATAACCCATACGTTGCACTCAAAATATCTAGGAAATTCTACCTTGACGCTGCCTGAATCTTTAGACCCATTTGGAAAACTGTATTCTGATGGTATCACTATCTTTGCGTATAATCGTTTCCTGGATTTAATGTCACGACTTACGCCCGTCTATACGTACCTCTTCACCTACAAAGGGCGTTACAGCCATTTCCTGTATAATGGTGAAGTTTACGGTAAGCTGTTTATAAATACTTGCATCCAATGTAAAATATCGTAAAAACAAAAACATTTTACAATTTATAATTGAAGGTGCCGTACATCACGACGAATTGCTCTATTTGTTACGGGTACCTGGTATGACGCCTCTTTTCACGCAAAGTGATCCCGAAAACGTGGTTATTGAAAATTTAACGCGTATGTGGACGGAATTCGCTAAAAAGGGGTAAGGCACTTGAAGTGAAGTTTATCTTAATTTTTATTAATTTGGGATTATCCAAAACTCCAAGTAAACTTATATCCAACTCGAGCCTCTATTAATTAATTCGGTGATGAACAGGGACAAAGCGAAGTTTATCCTGTCATAAAACAAGCAGTCAGTGCATGCGCATCTAGGTAACCACTGTCACTGTTGAGGGTTATAATTTGGTAAAATTTTAAATAGTGTGTAAATTTTAGGTAGGGTCGAGTACAACATAAGGTGTGTGCTCGTATTATCCAAATGACAAAATAAATCAGCAGCAACAATTCTGAGAATTTAGTAGCATTCGCTCTTAAAGAGGCAAACTATCCACAGAAGTAAGAGAGCGCAAAATTTGCAAAAAATCATATATTTTCTTGTATTTATATATATGTTTGCGATCAGCTGAATTTCTACTTGCAAGTTTTCGCAAGTCAGAATTTTTCCAGCTCTCAATGACTGTTTGCTCTCTCAATTTCCTCTACTTTGCAAGTTATTTTTGGGTACGATAACGAAAAAGCTGTGATAGTTTTCTCAACCTTTGGACAGTTTTAAGTACGAATAAACTCCTTCCTTTTTTTTATTTAACCAAAAAAATATTGTTTTCTTAATTGATGCACTTATCAATTAACCGCTTGACTATTTTAAATCCGATTCAAACATGTTTTGAAAAGGTTTTGAAAAGGGGATTTATAGACCTTTAAGCGCGATATTGAAAATTTTTGAAATTGAACTATGTTTACAAGGGTTACCACATGTTTAAAATATCATATTAAATTTTAATTAATATCCCCATTCTGTATCGGTGACAAAACTTTTATAACTGACAAATTTAAACATTTTCATAGAGTTTTCCATAAACAAAAAAAAAAAAAAACGGTGACAAGAATTTCCCGGCAAACCAAAGTTCCCGAAATCTTTAGGAGTATACCATTTCTGTAACGATTTTTTTACGAATGTTCAAAGACACGAACTCGTAAAGAAATTTCTGTAGGAAAAATAAATAAAATTCTGAAAAAAATTCTGCAAGAAATTCTTCTCATAGCAGCACTATTTTGATTCCTTTACCGATTTTCTTCCGAAATTTCGTAAAAGAATCGAAGTGTGCACAGTTTATTTGATTTTAGAAAATTTGGCAAAAAAAAAATCTCTACAGTTCAGAATACTCTGAAAAAATGGTTTGCCGAGTTTAGTTTAAAACTTTAATCGTAAACTTAATTTGGAGTTTTTTGGGTTTTAAGATGGTTGCCACATTTTTAAAAGTTAAATTTAATTTTGAAGTTTTAACGCTATACGGATGGTGAATCCGTTGACTTATTTAACGGTACAGTTTTTGTGTATTTTGAAACAATTTTCTAAATTTATTAAATTCGTTCTGTTTTTTTTTTTTCAGAGATCCCAATAATGAGAGCGATCAATACTTGAAAAATTTGACATGGCCACTGTATTCCAGAGATAAGAAGCCTTACCTAGTAATAGGAAAGGATTTGGTTGTTTCAGAAGGTGGCATTTACACTGAAAGATACCAAATCTGGGATGAGCTATTTCCCGTACCGAAGACGTTCAACTAAGTAAAATCTCTTATGCACCTAAGTAATCATTTGAAGTGGAGCTTTAGCAAATTCCCGGCAGTTACGAAACATGTGCACAAATTTTTTGGTTGTTTCTTTTTATTGAAAATATTTTGATTTTAGAGAAAAAATGAAAACAAAAAAAAAATATTTGATAAGAAATAAATTTAGTTTCAATGAATTATTTAACTGTTTGTTTCTTGATATTCGCGTTCATGCAAATGAACATTTTGGGAAATGCTAAATGCAGGAAGAAGGGACAAGTAAGTAAGCAAGCAGCGGATAAATCAAAGGAAACACAAGGAATAAAAAAGAACAACATAACAAGTCAGGACAGTCCGACGAACGAAGTCACAAAACCCAAAGAAGCTAGCGATACTCAGGAAAATGTCCCCTACGACCTGCCTAGTGCAGACGATGCAATAAAAGAGGACGATAAGACGAAGCAAACAAATGCCACACAAACCGGTCGCTTTAACCTGCCCACTGACTTTAGTTATCCCAAAGAGTTTGGCTTACCAACTGACTCGAACTCACCCGGCCAGCCGGATCAGTCCCGCGAAGAGGCGGAGTTGGGTTACCATGGTAACTTGTATGATGTGTTCAAGAAACGGTTAGACCAAGTTTTTCGAGAGCTCTACTACAACGTAAATAGTCCGGGGGTTACAGCACCGCCACCACAAATCGAATACGAAACTGATAAACCTAAGAAACGTTCAGCTGTTAGCAATTGCCTCTATGAGGAGTTCAAGCGTCGTTTAGATAAATTCAACAACGAATTTATGGAGCCGGCTAAAGCCATTAAGCGCACCAGCAGCGAGAGCACGGGGGTTAGTGGGTCCGGAAAACGCTCAACTGTACAAGAGAACTTATACGAGGAGTATAAGAGACGTCTCGATAAGCTTGGCAATGAGCTTTGGTTTGATGGCGAAAAAGTGTTTGACCGCAGTGGGCGTGAGGCTCCTGGTAAGCTGCCATTTATAAACACGAAGCCTGAATACAAACCAAAGCGCAGTGAAACGGACAAGGCTGCACAGCAAGATTTCTATGAAGAGTACAAGAAAAAACTAGATCAATTGACGCGAGAACTATACCAGAAGAGCAACGAACGCATTTGTCGCACATACACCCAACTGACCGCGGAGGATCTTACCTCGCCCACATTGCAGCGCTTAGTCGAAGCAGTGCAACTAGATGAAGCGAAAAGTATGAAGGGAGACACGCGTGACGCACCGGGCAGTTTTGAAGGATCAAATATTCTACTTAAAATCGACAAAGCTATTGACAATTTGGACAAGCAAGAGGANTTAGTCGAAGCAGTGCAACTAGATGAAGCGAAAAGTATGAAGGCAGACACGCGTGACGCACCGGGCAGTTTTGAAGGATCAAATATTCTACTTAAAATCGACAAAGCTATTGACAATTTCGACAAGCAAGAGGAGAAGCGCAGTTTGGGTGCTTACGATTTAGGTACCACCATTTTCGGTGCCGATTCCTTAAATTTTATTACAGGCGCGTCAAATGGAGTTGGTGCAACAGCTGCCGCCTCCTATCCGGCGGTGCTGACTAAAACGGTGGACGCAAATTTGGGACTGTTGGGTACAGCGCCGAAGAATATGCTTGCAACGGTTGCCTCAAAAATGAATATGACTACGCTGGATTTGGCCAAGAAGCTGGCGACCATGTCTAATCCGTTAGATTATGTAGCCAAAAGGGATCCGCAGCTGGGCGAAGAAATACAAAAATTGATCGATTTCAGCAGTAAGCTCGAATAGTGTAATCAAAGAATGAAAAATTAATTTCTTACTTTCAGTCAGCAATAAGCTCAACCAAAATCCAACTGCGAAAAAATCACCAGTACATGAAGTATCAGTAGTCGCGGGCTTACCTTTACTTGGCCCGGACTCATCAGGAGTGCCTACACCGCTTATGATGCAAGATGCCTTATTCGGTGCCATTCCCGCACTAGCACCTGCGTCCGTACCTGCGCCTGCTCCCGCACCCGCACCAGCGCCCACATCTTCAGTTTCGCCTGCATCGACTGCTGCCTCAGCACAGCCACAAGATCCATCTCAGCCTAAGCCAGCAACAAAATCTCCGCCAGTGGCTGTAAGCGGTGCAGCCCAGTCGAGTGAAGCTGAGGCCATGCGTATAGCGGGTGTACTAGACAAGGTGCTGGGTAAGCTGGAGCACATGCAACAATGCAGAACGGGTGTTAGTGCTGAACCAGCAGACGATAACTGTGAACCAGATGGTAATGCTATGAGACTTCAACGCACCTGATAGGCCTTCGGTTTTATGCGAGTATTTATTTTATACCAGGTATAACCTGCGATGTTGTGGGCTCCTGGAACTCCTACGCGATGGGCTTACGTTTCGATATTGCGCTAAGCAAGGCAGCAGACAGGCGACTGGGCATGGCTGAGAAGAACAACCAACTGCTAACGATTGATGTTGGCGAACGTGTACCGCCGAAGGCACATCACATTCTTGATACCAGTTGGAAATTTATGGGCAGCGCACTGAATCAGCAAGGTGGTCCGTTCTATTTTTATACGCAAAATCGCGAGCTTAACACTGTGGCGACTTTCATAGGTAGGTTTTTTTTTTTTTAAATCATGGGAGATTTGTACAATATTGTGTCCGTGGCTTCCAGGCTATTGTCGTGTCTGCGATGGCATCGATACAATTTTCGGTTCATGGACAATTATGGAACCATCTAAGGATTGCCAAGATGTTACGACATCACTGGAGAATAGGCGCGACATTTTTCGACGTTACAATATGGAAAGTAAACGGAATAAGCATTTCAAGGATATGCTATTTGAAAAAAGCAAATACTCCAAACCAGAGTGCAAGGACAATAAAAATGGATAAATTGTTATGCTAATTATTTGTGCTTATGGTTCTAGCAATTTTAATTTATTTTCTGATACTTTATTTTAAGCGTGTGATTAAAATTTTGTACATAAGTATACACACATACATATGTCTTTACATACCACCATATTTGGTTTTGCCGCATTCTTAATATTAACCGGAGACTAGGACTGCCAGTTACTTACTATCTCTAGTTTTTAAGACACTTGGAGACGGCTGCATAATTTAGAACCGGCCGGTCAATTTGTCTTGTATGTTGCCAACAACGTTTCTTTGTCTTGAAGACCTTGTTGCGGCTCTTTACTTTGTCGACAATTGCGGTTGTGTGCGCCGAAAAGGATAGCATACTGTCGAAGGTAACTCCGAGGATTTTTGGTTATTCACCGTCGGAATTGGTTCGCCATCGACGTGAATACCCAGCTGCAGCCTGACCTCCTTCGTTCAGGTGGTGAACAAGGTTGCGGAGGACTGTAAAGAAGCGAGAAAGCTCGGCAAGGTAATCGTATACTTTCGAGCACAGGTCATCAATTCCATTCCTTGATGCCATTATCGAGTAATCGTCAGCTTCAGAGACAATAGTGACTCCTTCTGGTGGTTAGAGAGCTTTGAAATACAGCAATTAAACAATAGTGGGGATAGGACACCACCCCGTGGTGCCCCTGTTAAATTTTTCTCGTTTTCCTAATTTTGCCCCTAAAACCTATTGACAAATGTCGACCACGGCCACGAGTTATCTGGATGTTTATGGCGTTAAGTTGTTGTGCTGTGCACTTTATGGAACCCATGCTAATGCCTCGCTGGGGTTAGGTGGTTAGTGTAGTGCGGGAGTACAAGGTCCTCTGGTGTCTTCGCAACCGAGGAAAAGAGGGTTATCGGAGGATAATAGTCTTCTTTGTTGGACGGTTTGAATAGTCCTATCGCTTTCGTCTTCCATATGGCTACCCTCACTTCGCCGTGAAAACAAGAGGCGCACTAGGCGTTGGCAGTTTGTGCAGCCTTCCGGTCACTCGACGTTTGGCTTTGCCCGCCAGAGGATACGGTGTGAACTGTCGGCTAAAATCGCTCGCGCATCGCTCCGGATCCGACAAGGCGCGGTCACCGAAAGAGATTTTGACTCTGTCGTCACGCTTCGTCGGATTGGACAGTGACCTCACGGTTTACCAAAGCTTGCTCACAACAGAGAAGTTGCAGGTCTTCAGATGCTCTTCCCACTTCTTCCACTTATGCACGTTCACAAGTTGCCATCCATATCCATGTTGAGATCCCTTATGCGGCGATTTCCGCGATCGACCTGACACAGGTTTTCACTCTTATGGGTGAGAACAGCCGCTTCAGCTAGAAAATTCGGACAGGGGTCCGAAATGCATCCCGCTGGGATGAAGCGGGCTGCAGAAGCTGTGACAACCCCGCGGTACTTACGCTTACCTGAGTGAACGTCGGTTGGTGTGGGTAAGGCGCTTTCAGTAAATTCCGCGAAGCCTTTCCAATCAGCTTTTGAAAAGTTGGCCTAGGTCCCTAATAACAGCAGCTACCCATAATCCTGGTGGGTGCGTCGTCGATCATTGTGCAGAATGCCGGAATCGTCTATCTGCTCAGCCAAGTGTCTTCCTGTACGATAGTTCCGACAGGCTTGGGTGCCAAAGATCGTGGTGCGGGCTAAAGTTACCAACTACCATGCACCTATTTCAGGGTGACATCCTGCCGGGCAGCTACTGACAGGGCGTATATATACATTAAATATTTCGAGCTCGAAATCGCCTGACCGGATAGCAATACCCCGACATTCTAAGATGGTATTTCTGCGGCCGATGTCTGCTTCGATAAGACGATACTGCACGGTGTGGTGCGTAATGCAGACGGTTATCTCCTCGATCTTGCTCTGAAGTCTGTTACAGTTATTGTAGCACCTTTGTGTACCTCGGGAGACCGACTGTGATATATTCGTATTCGTCTTTGTCTGCGGTTGCTCTACGTGTTCACAACTACGAAGCAAAACAAAATGCAACAACTTGAAGAGCTTGCAACAACAACGATGCCCAAATACGGCGGGTTTTGACATGGCGATTGTAGCCGTAATCAACTTTGGGACCATAAAAGCTCGTCATATCTTTCCAGTGGTGTTTTCGACTTCAAAATCAGTCCAGTAGGGCCGCCAAAATTAATATTAGCGTATTAATATATAGATTAGGCAAGGCAAGAAAGGAGCGTTGTGTAACAAAAACTTTGAATTTCATGTCATTTGGTATTAATCGCTTAATACTGCTCACTAACCAATCAATATACTCGTAGTAGGTATGTAGTTATGCAATAAATAAATCAGCGATATACAATTTCTCATTGTCAATTCTTTATTTTTAATAATTATTCATTTTATAATCATAAACTTTAATAATAAGATTTTCCGTATTATTAAATATAGATATAGTATATTTAACTGTGTATGTGTTGTTTATAATGTTTAATGTTTATATGAAATTAGAACATACGTATGCAGCTAAAAACTAAAGTCAAATTTGAATTGAGAATCAAAATGTCAATATTTATGTTTTTTATTAGTAAAATTTTTTTTTTGCATTGCAATATATTTGCATACATTATACCATTTTCATATGACATTAGCATAAGCAATTTCTTGTCTGATTTGGCGGTTGCTTACTTTTTGTTTCATACATTTTTCCATAAGCACATTAGATAAAATATAGTTAAATTATTTTACATTTTGGACTTAAATGGTTGCACGCGTACTTTTCGATAGTATGTGCTATTTATTCAGTTGTTTATGACTTAATGACATATTAAATAATAAACATTAAAAAACAAACTAAACTAGAAACGACTATGTATGCAAGTTTTTTGTTTTTTGTGTGTGTATAATATATGTATGTGAGTGTGTCTGGAGAGGGTATTTGCGCTTCGCTCCATTGTAGAATAATGAACGATTTCTAGTTGACTCATTACTCATTTTTCTTTCTTTTCTCTTTTGTTTTACATACAAAATTTGCATTTAAATTGGCAAATAGTTAATTTTTTTTTTTTGGATCTTTCATTTAGGGTGGTGTGTATGTACACTGGTGCCATACTGCGAGCACTTTCTCGCTGCAAGAGGTAATTTTAATAAACTTGTATGCTTTAGTTTATCACAAAAATGCGAAATAAAACAATTGTTGTGATTATTAAAATTTCAGATATAAATTGTTATATAACCACAATTCATTATATATGTACATATGACGATTTATATGCCAATTTTCTTTCCACTTTTTGATTAAAAAAAAAAAACGCAAGTCAAGTTCTTTTATCTGTAAGAATTAAATATTTTGAATAGCATTTAAATATTTTCATTTTGCGATAGCTGAAATTCTATTTATAAACTGTACCAAACAGTGATCTACATACATACATATGTATGTATATATTTATGAAAATATTTCGCTTGCTTTTATGTGCACATGTATTTACTTAAAACACGCGCAAGCGCATAGCGCATCACCTTCGTTTTACGACTTTACATTTAACTACTCATTGTAATTGTATTTTGTTAAACTTTATTCCACTTTTGTTTGTTAGATTTTACTAGTTTACTTAAAATGTNTTTGAATAGCATTTAAATATTTTCATTTTGCGATAACTGAAATTCTATTTATAAACTGTACCAAACAGTGATCTACATACATATTTATGAAAATATTTCACTTGCTTTTATGTGCACATGTATTTATTTACTTAAAACACGCGCAAGCGCATAGCGCATCACCTTCGTTTTACGACTTTACATTTAACTACTCATTGTAATTGTATTTTGTTAAACTTTATTCCACTTTTGTTTGTTAGATTTTACTAGTTTACTTAAAATGTTACAGTACGGTACGCTCAGTTCTGCTATTTGATTTTATTATTCATATTTAAATATTATATAAATCCATTATTGAACACACGCTCTGCTTTTAACTTAAGTGCAATTGTTATATTTTCTTTTATCTAAAAACGAAAGTGCAGTTCAACTCAAACGAAACTCAAATTTACGACGCGTGCTACTGTAACCAACAATTGCACTAATTTTCAGTGCAATCAATATAGAGAAATGTTCAAAAGGCAATTTAAGCCAAACCAAAAACTCTTTAAAAGTCAATTCATTCATAAACATATCGAGGAGGCTTTATATTCAATACCCTCTTATCTGCAATTTGCTCAAAACGAGTTTTATCATTATCGATGATGACCTTAGTGGTGACGGTTAAGCTCCAGATGGGTTCTAACATCGCAGATTAGTTTTCGTGAAAATTGCAAATAGAGGGTATCTCTTGAATATATGCAAACGATATGCGCATACACATCGCATATACATATGTACGCGTTTTAAACGCACGCTGTGTGTGTATATGTAGTTTTATACATACATTATACGTACGGGTATATGCGTAATTTATTATGTGTGCGTGTCCTGTTCTTATACATATTTGTCTTATCTATTGCTTAAGTTTACAAAATATGACTTACATGAATACATACGTACATATGCAAAAAAAAAAAAAAACGCAAACACAAGTACCTAACACGCTCGGCTTCAAACAAATTACATAAGTTTTAGATTGCGTGTTTTCTTAAATAAAATTTTAAGCTCAAATTGTTTGAAACATATGTACATATAGGTGATGGTCTTGTACTTGAGTTTGCATATACATACATACCTATATACCCACATAGCCGTAGTGCTGCAATTCGATTCCATAGATTCTTCTGCAATATTGCAAATAAAGTTTCTACTCCCATTCACTCCCATTTCGATCTTGATACAGTACAGTTTTAGTTTAGTTTGGAGCTTTGCCATGTAATTATGTATATGTATGCACATTTACAATCAATACGCAAACATAAAGAAACATACAAATAAAATGGGATATAATTTAGTTCGAATTACGAACGACTCTGGATTTGGTTACTCTTAATTATAATTGTAATACAACATAGAACCCTTTAAACGGCATGTGACACAAATGACGACAAGTAAATGTTTGTGTATGTACATAAGTGTGATTGTGGATGTGCGTATGCAGGCATGCATTGATCGAACGATATATTAGGAATATATTTACATACATACGAACTGATTTAATGCGCAGAGCTACAATTGTTAATACAAACATATTTATGTACCTACATGCAACAACACGACGATGCATTTTAGCGATCGTATACTCCAGGGCAACGTGTCGTTTTCGTTTATTAATGGTAATACAACACTCACTCAAATCATTCACAAACAGTTTGTATGAAATCTTGAGCAAAAGCTTTAACCAAATACATACATATGTATAGTGAATCAATAAAGTTTAGAGACAATAAAAGTACGTTAACTTATGTACATATGCAGAGATCATCCTCATTTGGTAGTATCGTAGTGATTTTTTTTTTTTTTTTATATGTAAACGTCCTTTAAAATTTTCAATTTTCCCAGCAGCTCTACATATTCAATTTCAAAAAATTCGTCATGTATTGCAAGAAATTAATTTTTTTATTTCTGAGAAATGGGCAAATTTAAGAAGCTACTCCAGTGTCTATAAAATCTAAAATCAATGGATTTCAACGTACTAGCGGAGAACAGAGAGAACCAATGCTTTGACATTCCGGGTAGAGATATATATTTGTTACATTTACAGATGGCGCTGAGCATAACGTTCGTAGACGTACCTATAAAGAGCTTTAAAAAAAACCTGAATATACAAGATAGGGCTTTGATGAAGAATTACCAGTTTAATCAGTGAAATTGCCTTTGCACCTGAACAAACTTGATTCACTGTATGTGTCTAGTGTAGCTCTAGTTTGTTATGAAATCTTAAACTGAAATTTCTCCCTAGTAAAAATTAGCAGCACAATTACTTAAAATAACATCTACATACACAATACGAAATTAGTTGGAAAGCCAATATAAATAATAAAATAACTTGTTCAAATGAAAAGTTGGTGACGCATGCAATTAAAGCTTAATTTTCCTTTATTTTCTTTCTTGATAAAAAAAAATCAAGATTTGCGTCAGATGAGTACAGAAAAATAAACAAACTCAATGGGATATGCTTTTTAGCCTTCTATTTATCTCAATTTCTTGTAATAAAATTTACAAATAATGGTTTTAAAAATAATTGCCCTGCTAGTGTTTATTGTTTAAAAATTTTCGTAGGCTTCTCCACGGGGACGGGCGTTGAATGATTACATATTTATTTGCACACGCACACACACAAGCTCGCGCACATTAAAAGCAAAGGCAGCAAATTTCATTGAAATTTCATTGAAATTTGCCTGTGGTAAAGTGAGGGGGCAAAAAATACAAAATATATATGTATCTGTGTAAAGTACAAAGTAAGCGTACATATGTATGCGTATGTACGCGCAAAATAGTGATGATAGTACATGCAGTGTATATGAATGTATNAACAAACCGAAATTAGTTGTAAAGCCAATATAAATAATAAAATAACTTCTTCAAATGAAAAGTTGGTGACGCATGCAATTAAAGCTTAATTTTCCTTTATTTTCTTTCTTGATAAAAAATCTAGATTTGCGTCAGATGAGCACACAAAAAAATAACCAAACTCAATGGGATATGCTGTATAGCCTTCTATTTATCTCAATTTTTTGTAATAAAATTTACAAATAATGGTTTTAAAAATAATTGCCCTGCTAGTGTTTATTGTTTAAAAATTTTCGTAGGCTTTTCCACGGGGACGGGCGTTGAGTGATTACATATTTATTTGCACACGCACACACACAAGCTCGCGCACATTAAAAGCAAAGACAGCAAATTTCATTGAAATTTGCCTGTGGTAAAGTGAGGGGGCAAAAAATACAAAATATATATGTATCTGTGTAAAGTACAAAGTAAGCGTACATATGCATGCGTATGTACGCGCAAAATAGTGATGATAGTACATGCAGTGTATATGAATGTATGCTGCAAGTGACGCTCCAAAGTATGGCGCACGGGTAGTAACTTCAAATTAGAAGAATTAAGTTTCACATAAAAGTTTTAAGTAAAACATCCATTTCGCAAAAGCGAAAAAAGCAAACACGGATGCGTTACTGTTTGTGTGTGTGTATGTGTTTTTTTTTCTATTTTCGCCAAATTTGGTTGTGCATGTGTAGCGCTTTAAATTGCTCAGCTCTTTTCGCAGTTTCTACGATTTCTTTAGCATAGCAAAGATGTTGAGTTGCATGCAAAAAAGGAAATTATACTTTTATAAAAAGTACCTGCAATATTAATTGCGCTTGTACCTATGTTATATAGTACAACCTTGAACTTGTATGTATGTCTGTCTGCTTCTAATTGTTGCTGTATATAAGTTATTTGTGTTCCTTACTATTGTTATTGTATGCTTGCGAATTTTTTTTTTCTATAATTTAGTTAGTTTATGGAAGTGTGTTGTTGCTATTTTCACTGCTACCTAATTGTGGTTGACATTGTGTGATGATGAAGAAGTCTTGTCTTTTTCTCTTCACCAAAGTTTGATTCTGGTACGGTGGTTGTTGCGCTGCACCATTGTCATCATCACCTGTTGTTTGCTGGTTGCGCCTA